CAATAAAAGATGAGACAACACTATTGCCCCTACATAAATAAAAACCATTGTAAGAGAATACTCTGAACAATTGTATGCCCATAAATTAGGTGCCATAAATGAAATGGCCAAATTCCTAGAAAGACACAAACTACCAAAGATGACATAAGAAGTAAAAAATCTAAATATACCTGTAACAAGCAAAGAGATTGAATTCATAATTTTGAAACTTCCCACAAATGAAAGTTCAGGCTCTCACTATCTCAGTGGTTCATTCTACCAAATGTTTTTTTTTTTTTTAAAGATTTTATTTATTTATTTGAGAGAGAGAATGAGAGACAGAGCGTGAGAGGGAGGAGGGTCAGAGGGAGAAGCAGACTCCCCGCCGAGCAGGGAGCCTGATGCGGGACTCGATCCCGGGACTCCAGGATCATGACCTGAGCCGAAGGCAGTTGCTTAACCAACTGAGCCACCCAGGCGCCCCATTCTACCAAATGTTTAAAGAATAATTAATACCAATCTGTCACGAACTCTCTCAAAAAATAAGAGGAGGAAACACTTCCCAACTCATTCTATGAGACCAATATTCCTCTGATACAAAATCAGACAAAGACATCACAAGAAAACTATAGACTGATATCCCTTATAGATAAAGACGTAAATCATCTCAACAAAATACTAGCAAACTGAATCCAGCCACATATAAAAAGGATTATACATCATGACCAAGCGGGATTAGTCTCAGAATACAAGTTGGTTTAATATCCAAATATCAATTGATTTAAAATATCATATTACTAGGGGTGCCTGGGTGGCTCAGTCGTTAAGCGTCTGCCTTCAGCACAGGTCATGACCCAGGGTCCTGGGATCGAACCCAGCATCAGTCTCCTTGCTCCACAGGAAGCCTGCTTCTCCTTCTCCCACGCCCCCTGCTTGTGTTCCCTCTCTCACTGTGTCTCTCTCTGTCAAATAAAAAAATAAATAAATAAAATCTTAAAAAAAATAAAATAAATAAAATATCATATTACTAGAATAGAAGACAAAACCCGCATGATGGCCACAGTTGAAACATCATTTGACAAAATCCATTCAAAACAAAACAAAACCCAACACAGAACAAACTAGGAATAGAAGGGAATTCCCACAACCTGATAAAGGTCATCTGCGAAAAACTCACAGATAACATCATAATCAATGCCAAAAGCTTTTCCCACTAATATCAGTAATAAGCAAGTATATCCATGCTCATCATGGCTATTCAACCTTATACAAAAGTCGTAGCTAGGGGGCGCCTGGGGGCTCAGTCAGTGGAGCTTGCAATGCTTGATCTCAGGATGATCAGTTCGAACCCCACTTTGGGTATAGAGATTACTTTAAGAAAAAGTTGTAGCAGGGCACCTGGGTGGCTCAGTCATTAAGTGTCTGCCTTCGGCTTAGGTCATGATTCCAGGGTCCTGGGCTTGAGCCCCGCATCGAGCGCCGCATCGAGCGCCGCATCGAGTCCTGCATCGGGCTCCCTGCTCAGTGGGAAGCCTGCTTCTCCCTCTCCCACTCCCCCTGCTTGTGTTCCCTCTCTCGCTGTGTCTCTCTCTGTCAAATAAATAAAATCTTTAAAAAAAAAAAAAAGAAGAAGAAGAAAAAGTTGTAGCTAAGACTATTAGTCAATAAAAAGGAATAAAGGCATTCAGATTGGAAAGCAAGAAGTAAAACTATTTTTTCTTTCCTTCCTTCCCTCCTTCCCTCCTTCCTTCCTCTGCTGCAAAAAGCTTTATTGTTTCCATTTGGTCCACAGCTTGGTTAAAAAGATGCCTAGTGGCTGCAGGGAGAAGCTCTGTCACAAGTCCTGACCTGACAGGGTTGTCAGAGGCATCCCTCAAAGGCTGCTCATCTAGGAAGCAGTTCTCAGGAAGAAGTAAAACTTTCTAGTTACAGATGATACGACACTGTATATAGAAAATCATAAGGAATCCACAAAAACATTATTATTACTAATAAGTGAGTTTAGCAAATTTGCAGGATACCAGATCAATATACAAAAATCAGTTGTGTTTCTATACACTAGCAATGAACAATATAAAAATGAATTTCAGAATATAATTCCATTCACAATAGCATAAAAAAGAAGATATATAGAAGTGAATTTTTAAAAAATATTTTATTTATTTATTTGACAGAGAGAGAGACAGCGTGAGAGGGAACACAAGCAGGGGGAGTGGGAGAGGGAGAAGCAGGCTTCCCGCAGAGCAGGGAGTCCAATGTGGGGCTCGATCCCCGGACCCTGGGACCATGACCTGAGTCGAAGGCAGATGCTTAACGACTGAGCCACCCAGGTGCCCCATAGAATTGAATTTAACAAAGTAAAAGACTTGTGTACTGAAAACTATAAAACATTATTGACAGAACTTTAAGACCTAAATAAATGGAAAGATATCCCATGCTCATCAATCAGGAGACCTAATACTATTAAGAGGGTATTACTCCCCAAACTGATCTACAGATTCAACTCAATCCTTATCTAAATCCCTTGGCTTTTTAGGAGAAATTGACAATGTGATCCTAAAATCCATATGGGCACGTAATGTTATGGACCCGGCCAAAACAATCTTGAAAAAACAAAACAAAACAAAATTAGAGGACTCACACTTTTTGGTTTCAAAACCTACTACAAAGCTACAATAATCAAGACAGTGTGATAGTAGCATAAAGGTAGATATGTAGGTCAGTGAAATAGAACCGAGAGTCCAGATTTTTGACAAATTGTATTGTGCCAAGACTATTCAATGAGGGAAAGAATAGTCTTTTCAATATATGGTGCTGGGATACAACTGGATATTCACATGCAAAAAAATAAAGTTGGATCCTCATTTTATATCTTATACAAAAATTAACTCACAATGATCAAGGACCTAAATGTAGGAGCTAAAACTATAAAACTCTTTTAAAAAACAGGGGAAGAGTTTCATGGCATTGTATGAGGCAATGATTTCTTGGATATGACAGCCAAAGCAAAGCAACGAAAGAAAAAATAGATAAATTGGACTGCATCAAAATGGAAACTGTGCACACCCAAGGACAGTTAACAGAGTGAAAAAGCAGCCTATAGAATGGGAGAAAAGATTTGCAACTCATACATCTGATAAGGGGTTAGTCCAGAATATAGAGAGAACTAGAGAGCTCCCACAACAATAAAAAGATGTATAATACAATTTAAAAATGGGCAAACAAGTTGGGTAGACATTTCTCCAAAGAAGGTCTACAAATGATCAACAAGCCTATGAACAGATACTCAACATCACTCATCATCAGGGAAATGCAGATCAAAACCACAATGGGGGGCACCTGGGTGGCTCAGTTGGTTAAGCGACTGCCTTCGGCTCAGGTCACGATCCCGGAGTCCTGGGATCGAGTCCCACATCGGGCTCCCGGCTCAGCAGGGAGCCTGCTTCTCCCTCTGACCCTATCCCCTCTCATGCTGTTTCTCTCTCTCTCTCTCTCTCAAATAAATAAATAAATAAAATCTTAAAAAAAAAAAACACAATGGGATATCACCTCACACCCACTAGGATGGCTTTTATTAAGATACAAAAAGCCGGGGCGCCTGGGTGGCTCAGTCGTTAAGTGTCTGCCTTCAGCTCAGGTCATGATCCCAGGGTCCTGGGATCGAGCCCCGCATCGAGCCCCGCATCGGGCTCCCTGCTCCGCGGGAAGCCTGCTTCTCCCTCTCCCACTCCCCCTGCTCATGTTCCCTCTCTCGCTGTGTCTCTCTCTGTCAAATAAATAAATAAAACCTTAAAAAAAAAAAAGATACAAAAAGCCAACAGGAAATAACAAATGTTGGTGAGGATGTGGAGAAATCGGAACCTTTGTACACTGTTGGTGGGAATGTAAAATTGTACAATCGTTATGGCAAATATTATGGCAGTTCCTCAAAAATGGAATTACCATATGATCCAGCTATTCCACATCTGAATATATACGCAAAAGAATTGAAAGCAGGGTCCTCAAAAGATAATTGTACGCCTTCTTCACAATAGCCAAGAGGTGAAAGCAACCCAGGGTCTTTCAGTGGGTGAATGGATAAACAAAATGTAGCAGATACATACAATGAAATATTATTCAGTTATTAAAAAGAAATGAAATTCTGACACATGGATGAACCTTGAGGACATTATGCTAAGTGAAATAAGTGAGTGACAAAGAGACAAATACTGTGTGATTCCCACTTATATGAAATATCTAGAGTAGTCTGTTCATAGAGACAGAAAGTTAAATGACGATTGCCAGGGACTGGGGAGAGGAGGAAATGGGGTATTGTTGCTTAATGAGAACAGGGATTCAGTTTTGCAAGATGCAAATATTCTGGAGATCAACTGCACAGCATAAATACATTTAACACTACTGAACTATACGCTTAAAAAGAATTAAGATGGCGAGTTTTATATAATGTATGTTTTTCCACAACTTTTAAAAAGGCCATCAAAAAATGCTTAATTATGTTTACAGAAATGCTAGGTGGTGAGATATTACATCATTTGTCAGATTTGAGACAATTTTTCTCTGTGAACCTTGACTTCTGCACTTCAACCTCTAACTGTGTCTACCTGGTTACTCAAAAATTAACCCGATAGCTGTCATTTAAGCCTACTCATGTTGTGCCAGGCTTTTCCATATATAATTCTCAACAATCCCCTGGTGAGCAAATTAAAGCTCAGAAAAGCTCACTGACATTTCCCAAGGTTGTATGAGGGATAGCGCTGTCACTGGAACCCATGCCTGACCCTAAAGCCTGGGTTCTTCCCTACTGCACCTCATGCCCCTCAAGCTAGCTTCATCCTAACAACTATTTGGGGTACCTCAAAAATTCAGATCCCCTTTAGAGATGAGCTTCTCTAGGTTTTGATGAATGTTGAATGTGTGAATCCTATAATTAATAAATTAACAAAGATGACTGAAAACGGGAATGAATACTCTGACAGGCTACTGGAGCCTTGGATGGGTGGGGCCTGGAAGACGGAAGGAGGGAAGACTGAAGAGCTGAAAGCGGAAATTACAGTCAGTGTATTCTGGCTGAGATCAGAAAACACTGGGGAAGTCCACGGCCCCGGAGCCATCGCCAGCCTGAAAAGAGGCCAGTCGGGACACAGCTGTGTGTGCTCCCAGCTGCAAAGGAGGCTCAGGCAAGATGCCCTAAGGAGGGAAGGGTGACAGGGACATTGGGTAGGGGAGGGGCAGATCTTTCTTTAGAAAGATCACTGGGGGGCGTACCTGAGTGGCTCAGTCGGTTAAGCAACTGCATTTGGCTCAGGTCACAATCCCAGGGTCCTGAGATGGAGTCCCGCGTTGTTCTGTCTGGCTCCCTGCTCAGCGGGGAGTCTGCTTCTCTCTTCTCTTGCTCCCTCTGCCTCCACCCCCACCCCCATGCTCGCACACGTTCTCTCTCTCTCTCCTGAATAAATAAATAAAATCTTAAAAAGAAAGAAAGAAAGGTCACTCGGACTCCTGTGGGGAAGGTGACTTTAAGGGGAAGAAACTGGAAGAGGGAAGACCTGACCCCAAACGCAGAGCCAAGGGAAGTGAATTCCAGAAAGGTTTTTGGAAGGACCCTTGGCCAGGGCTTTGTGGGGACGTGGGGATGGTGAGAGAGAGGAAGCAGTCTCTGTTGTCAACTTAGGTATTTCAGTGACAGCCGAAAGGAACAGACCTTTAACAGCTGGGTGTGGGGGGTGAGGGTCAGTCAGGGAGAGAGAAGTGGGTGTCACTTGTGTGGGGTGACTCCCAGGACTCTAAGCACTTGTCTAGTCGACTGCTCCAACATGGGGTACTTTCATTTTAATTAATTAATTAATTAATTAATTAATTTTTGGTGGGGAGAGACACAGGAGTGGGGAGCAGGGAGGAGCAAAGGGAGAGGGAGAGAATCTTTTTTTTTTTGCGAGAGAGAATGAGAGAGAGCACGAGAGGGAAGAGGGTCAGAGGGAGAAGCAGGCTCCCCGCTGAGCAGGGAGCCCGATGCGGGACTCGATCCCGGGACTCCAGGATCATGACCTGAGCCGAAGGCAGTCGCTCAACCAACTGAGCCACCCAGGCGCCCGAGGGAGAGAATCTTAAGCAGGCTCCATGAGATCATGACCTAAGCTGAAATCAAGAGTCAGATGCTTAACTGACTAAGCCACCCAGGCGCCCCCATGGGGTACTTTTATTTATTTACTTATTTTTGTTTATTTATTGATTTTTTCCCCCATGGGGTACTTTTATATTGTCCCTCAGGTCCAGGGATCTCTACACTTGTTTTCTGAGGGGTAAGGTAGGAATCTGGTGCATTAGCCTAGAGATTGCTGAGGACACCAGGATTATGATGGGTGGAGGACGGAAATGGCTTTCAGAGAACAGGGAAGGAAAACATCTGAGGAAGCAACAGTTAGAAACCATCAGTCTTTCCACATCCGTATTATTTAACCAAATAGCACCCCATGTGCTACCTCCCTTGACCTCAGTGCTGATTGGGAGAACTCAGTAGATCTGGGTCACTGCCTTCCCCAGGCTAACAGGTTTCTAAGCTGGCGAGGGAATCCAGGTGATCTGGGGTATGATGGAGAGCATGCACTTGCTGGACATGGTGTGAGGGCACTGTGTGTACCTAGCCCTTTTCAGGGGACCAGGGCATGGACCTGAACTATTTAAGTTTTTTTTTTTAGTAAATAGTAAAACTATTTACTTTTCTTAAGTAAAGTTGAGAGAAGATGTGGGCACAAATACATCTCTTCCAACTGAGGAAGACTTTCCCAGGGCCGATCCACTAATCCCAGATCCTCTCTGAGCCCACCAACCCAGGGATGAAGGAACCCCTTTGCCAACCTTCTCTACTTCAGCTTCAGGGAGCCTCAGGACCCCAGCACTGAGGGAACAGGGTCTGACCCCATCCTTCACTGTGGAGGTGGGGAGACTGACACAGGGGGTCAAGGGGGACCCTGCATGAGGCCCTCTCCTTTTGGGCCTCGGCCTCCCTAACCAAAGCTCCGTCTGCAGGGACAGAGAGACATGGCCTGGAGACTGATACCACTTCTGCTGCTGTTGGCCTGGACAGCCTCCATGTGCAGGGCCCGGACCAGGACAGACCTGCTCAACGTCTGCATGGACGCCAAGCACCACAAGACAAAGCCAGGCCCTGAGGACAAGCTGCATGATCAGGTGAGGAAAGAGTGTGGCTCAAGCTGGGGAGGGGGCTGGTTCTAATGGGGAAGAAGTCAGGGGGGTGGGGGAAGGGTCGACTGCTCAGATGCCCCCACATCCTGGGTTATTGCTGGGAGAGAAGATGACGGTAAGGTGGGGGGTATTGGCTGAGGTGATTTTAGGGGTGGCCTCCTCAGAGAATACCATGTCAGCAATGATACGATATAATCATTTGTTGAGCACTTACCAGGTGTGGTGTTTACTGCCCATGATTTCATACTCCCAGTGGTCCTTTGATGTAGCAGATAATGTTCTCCCCCACATGACACAAACGAGGAAACTGAGGCCCAGAGAAGCACAAGGACACACAGGGGACTCAGACATAAGCAGTCCTTGTGGTGGTGCAGGGACAGGACTCGGGTGGGCACTCCCAGCGGTTTGGAGGGTGAGAGATTGTCGGGGAGGATGGTTCTTCCTACCTTCACTATGTGCCAGTCCACGGAGTGTCAAGGTTGGGGGAGACGGTCTCTTCTGGCTGTGATACAGAGCAATAGGTGCTGTATATTCACTCATTCTGTCAAAATGGATGCCAGTCAGTTGTAGCTCTATTGAGACTCCATGTCTCCTTTTTATGATAAATACTCTTTATTTTTTTTTTAAGATTTTATTCATTTATTTGCCAGAGAGAGAGAGAGAGAGCACAAGCAGGGGGAGCAGCAGAGAGAGGGAGAGGGAGAAGCAGGTTCCCTACTGAGCAGGGAGCCCGATGTGGGGCTCAATCCCAGGACCCTGGGATCGTGACCTAAGCCGAAGGCAGACGCTTAACTGACTGAGCCGCCCAGGTGTCCCAATAAATACTCTTTAGACTCTTTTTCTATCCTGGAATAAAATTCAAAGCCAATAGAACCTATTTGCACATTTAACTTAAAAAATATCAACATGATTCTCTATCTGTACTACAAAGGAGAAGCACAAAGAAAGTAACTTATAATAAAATAAAGTATATTTCAATATGTCAATTCCCTGGCATGACTCCATTAGAAATCACTATCAAATAGCATGTTTGGGGGCATCTGGGTGGCTCGGTCGTTGAGCATCTGTCTTGGGCTCGGGTCATGATCTCAGGGTCCTGGGATCGAGCCCCACATGGGGCTTTCTGCTCCACGGGAAGCCTGCTTCTCCCTCTCCCACTCCCCCTGCTTGTGTTCCCTCTCTCGCTGTGTCTCTCCCTGTCAAATAAATAAATAAAATCTTAAAAAAAAACCAACACCAAATAGCATGTTTGCCTCTATTCACCAAATCACTATGAATAGGGCAACTACAGATGAAGATCGACACAGGTATCTTCTATTGGCAGCTTAAATGCTGTAAGATACTCTAAGCTGTGCTGGCATGATGACATAATTTTCTAAAACAGTGAATAACTCTGGTAAAACAAAACACATAGCACGGCTTTCCTTTTCACAGTATTTGCTGTCCTGAAAAAGCCGGTCTATATTAAAAACTTGCTAAGATATGGTGTGTCTATATGTAAGATGGAGTTCAGTTTAGATTTAGGAAATCATAGAGAGGTCTTGCGTTTACTTTTTTCAGCAAATATTTTTTTATGGGCCTGCCACGTTTCTGGCACTGGTCTCATTGCTGGGGACACAGACCTTAGTACTCGCCAAGGAGAAAGTTATTCCACATACGTTACTACATAGGTCATTGCCTTCTTCCTTTGCTCAAAATATCACCCTCGGGTGAGGCTTTTTTTTCCCCCTAAACATTTTATTTATTTATTTGACAGCGAGAGAGAGGGAACACAAGCAGGGGGAGCGGGAGAGGGAGAAGGAGCTTCCCACTGAGCAGGGAGCCCAATGTGGGGCTCCATTCCAGGACCCTGGGATCATGACCTGAGCCGAAGGCAGACGCTTAAGGACTGAGACACCCAGGCACCCTCTGGTGAGGCTTTTCACAACCACCTTATTTAAAATTTCAACAATTGGGGTGCCTGGGTGGCTCAGTCGGCTAAGCGGCTGCCTTCAGCTCAGGTCATGATCCCAGGGTCCTGGGATTGAGCCCCGCATCGGGTTCCCTGCTCAGCGGGAAGCCTGCTTCTCCCTCTCCCTCTGCCTGCCACTCTGCCTACTTGTGCTGTCTCTCTATCTCTCTGTCAAATAAATAAATAAAATCTTTAAAAAAAAAAATTTCAACAATTATCCCATACTCCACTTTCCCATTCCCTGCTGTAATCTCCATATAATTGACTGGATCCTGACACCATATCTTTTTCTCTTTCAGTTTCTTACTGTCTGTCCCCACTTACCAGGATATAAGTTCCATGAACACATATTTCTGTCTGTTTTGTTCTCTATCGTATTCTCAGCATCTAGAACAGTGACTGGAATAGAAATAGGTACTCAGTAATTATTTTCTAATGAATACATCAAAGAACTTTCTATAAAGTGTGAAGGGCTGCATCAGTGATGGCTATTGTCCCCCCAACACGGGGTTTCTCTCCGGCTCCCACGACCCCTGATCAGCCCTGTTGTGACTGAGTCTCCCCCAGGATGGGAGTTCCTGGAGGTCAAGGACAGAGGGGTCCTCACAGTAAACTTTCCTAAGACAACCCACCTGAGGCAGGAGAGCAAGAACCATATGGGGAGATGCTGGAGGTGGCAGAAGGTTGTGTGTGTGTGTTGGGCGGGGGTGGGCACTTAGTCCGGTGTCTTCCCCACGCAGTGCACTCCCTGGAAGGAGAAGGCCTGCTGCTCAGCCAGCACCAGCCAGGAGCTGCACAAGAACATCTCCCTCCTGTACAACTTCACTGTGGACCACTGTGGCAAGATGGAGCCCGCCTGCAAGCGCCACTTCATCCAGGACAACTGTCTCTATGAGTGCTCACCCAACCTGGGGCCCTGGATCCAGGAGGTACAGGACCTGCCCTCACCCCAGCCCAGCAGGCTGCCAGCCAGCTGAGTCAAGGCTGCGGGCGGCCCACATCCCCGTCCCCACTCCCTCCCCTCCCACCCAGGTGAACCAGAGCTGGCGCAAGGAGCGTTTCCTGCACGTGCCCCTGTGCAAAGAGGACTGCCAGCGATGGTGGGAGGACTGTCGCACCTCCTACACCTGCAAGAGCAACTGGCAAAGGGGCTGGAACTGGACCTCAGGTGAGGGCCTGGGGGGTGGGGGGAGACGCAGGTGGGGTTGGAGGATTTGGGGGTGGCCAGAAACCAGCTTCGGGCCCAGGGGCTGAATGTCTGTGTCCACGCCCTCTCCGCCTGCAGGAATTAACCAGTGTCCAACCGGGACCACCTGCCGCACATTTGAGACCTACTTTCCCACGCCTGCAGCCCTGTGTGAGGGCCTCTGGAGTCACTCCTACAAACTCAGCAACTACAGCCGAGGGAGCGGCCGCTGCATCCAGATGTGGTTCGACCCGGCCCAGGGCAACCCCAATGAGGAGGTGGCGAGGTTCTATGCCCAGGCCAGGAGTGCCGGGGCCCTGCCCCGAGGGGTGGAGCCTCTCCTGCTCAGCCTGGCCTTGATGCAACTCTGGCTGCTCGGCTGAGTCTAGCCCTACCCAGACGTCCTCTCTGCATGTCCCCAGTGTTGATGACCAAGCTGGGCATAGAGGGAGCCCTAAGCGTGCCTCCATCCATTATCTATCCTTCTGTCATCCCATTCCTGCTCCATGGCGGGCCTTGGGGTTTCTCTGGCAGTCAGCTCAAATAAAAAGCCTGACACATCCAGGGGCACTTGTGTGGCTCAGTCATTAAGCGTCTGCCTTTGGCACAGGTCATGATCCCAGGATCAAGCCCCACTCTGGGATCCCTGCTTGGCGGGAAGCCTGCTTCTCCCTCTCCCACTCCCCCTGCTTGTGTTCCCTCTCTTGCTGTCTCTCTCTCTGTCAAATAAATAAATAAAAATAAAATAAAAGACTGACGCATCCGTGTCAGATGAATTATTTTGGTTTGAGTGGGTAGATGACAGATTCCACAGTTTCTGAATTCCTTCAGGTCAGAGAAATGAGACCTGGGTTTGAATACCAGCTTTGCTACTGACTATGCCAAAGTGAAGCAGCTGCCTGTCTATTCTAAAGCTTAGTTTCCTCCTCAATAAAATGGGGATAATGATCCTTCTTTCCTTCCGGGTTGTGAAACACAAAGGAGCTATTGCCTAGAAAGCATGTGAGCCCAGTGCCTGCACTTTAATAGTCCTCAGGGATTCTGTTGCTCTTGTAGCCACAAATGAGAGCTGGGTCCAGGGCTTTGTTACTTATATTGGGCCCCAAATATCCCCTCTTTCTCCTAGGCCCAGCCTGCCTGGCTCTGTGCTTAGCTCTGCAATGGGAAAGCTGGGAATGGGAATCTAGGGAAGGCTCTGGATTCCCAGTGGGGGTGAAAAAAAGTTCACACATGATGTGGATTGGAGGGACAGAGTTGAGGCTTGGACCCTCAGAAGAGGAAGAGAGAAGACTGGGGAGGGCAGTCTGGGAGGTTCCTGGAAGAGGAAATGTTCAAGAGCCTTGAACAGGTTTAGCTGAGTTCTAGAGGCCTGGATGGAAAAAGGTTGGAAACCCTTAGGGGCTTCCCAGGGGCAGGAGCCTGGCCTCTCCTCTGGCACCTTTGTCCCCTCCACGGATTGCTAGATGTCTATCCTGTCTTTGCACAGCCCCCAGGAACTGGGCCTGAGTTGATCTCTGGGTCTCCCTCTTGCCCTTTTCCCCTGGGGAAGTCTTCATCTCTACATCCCCCTCACAGTTATCCCTAGAGAGCCACAGGTCCCTGTCTGAGAACACCAGGCAGGTGGGTGATCAAGCTACGACTAGAACCCAGGTGTGAAGACTCCTAGTCCAGGCCTCTCCCCTCCCCACCGCACCAGGGTGCCCCCTTCATGGCACTCACCTTTCCTCATACCTAGAGCTGAGTGACTGGGGAAACCGGGCAGTTTGTGGAGGATGACTTATGGGATTCCTGGAGGGGTCTGGAGACACTGGGATGTATGGGGGTGTCTGTTAGCTACTTTATTTACCTAGTCTGGAAGGCCCCCACAGAGCCCATTCTGTGTCCCAGGCTTTGTTCCAGCTGGGTTAATCCAATGCGTATTTGAAGGAGAGGAAGGAGCTTGCCGGGACTGACCCAGACACAGGTTCAATTGAGCAAAGTGAAAGCTCTCTCCCAGGTTAAAGGGGATCGGCCGACGGCGGCCCAGGAGTTGGCAGCTGTGGGAGCTAGGCTGGAAGCCTGCGCCTTTAAGGAGCCAAGGGGCGGAGGGGCGGGGCAGGAAGCGGACTCCCGGGAGACGCTGCCACCGGCTAGGTCTTTTTTGGGGGAAGGGGCGGGCCAGACCCTCTGTGGGCCCCGCCCCCTTTCCGGCGAGCGGTACCCCTCCCGCCCTGGGCGCCCGGGGGCGTCCGAGCGTATAGGCTCTGGGGAGCTCCCGGGTCGGCGTCCCGCCCACAAAGGCTCAAGTTTGTCGTCTTGGAGGGAGTAGCTGGGGCGGGGGCGGGTACTAATAATACCCGTTCGTGCTGGCGCCGCGCTTTACAGTTTACACAGCTGTCACCTTCGTTACTCCTTAATTAATAATAAAAATAGCCGCTGTTCTGGAGGCTTACTGGATGCCAGGCCCCGTGCGGAGAGCTTTACAAGCACAGTCCCATTGAGTCTGCCCTCATAACACTGCCCCCACTCTGCAGAGCGGGAAGGCGAGGCGCGGAGGGGTGTCGTGACTTGCCCGAGGTCACTCGGCGGGTCAGTGGCTCCGGGATCGAGACGGGGGGCCGGGGAAGGCGGGGCGCGGGTGCTACCCCCGGCTCAGCCGAGAGCTGCGGGGGCGGAGCGGCGGGCGGGGCGGAAGGCGAGGGGGGGTGCGGCGGCAGAGGATGGCCATCTTAAGTGGCCGCTGAGAGTCAAGGGCCGCTTCCCCCGGGAAGGGGGCTTCGGAGCGGCCCAGGAGGTGGGGGTCTGCGCGCGGCGGCTGCGTCTCTGGGGAGAAGTCGGGAGCCCAGGGGTTTGAGGGAACTTTCTTCTAGGAGGGCAGTGGCGGAGTGGGGGGCGCCTGATCTCGGGCTGCTGAACCCCTCAAGGCCCGGGCCTGCGGGTATGGGGGATGGTGCCAGGGAACTTGGCCGGGAGGGGGGGAAGGGCTTTGCCCGGCTGCGAGGGGCTGCCAGGGACGTGCGTGGGGAATCGAGGACACTGGACCTTGTCTGAGGGTTTGTGGGAGATCAGGTTTCTATGGAGGGGATTTCCCCCCCGCGGGATTTGTAGGGGGCTGGACCCAGTGCAGTTTGAGGGTTCAGGTCGAAGAGGGGCCTGGATTTCACGGGGGTTGAGAAGCGGGCCGCTTGGGTAACGAGGACGGGGAAGAGGTTCATCTTGGATCCCTCGCGGGTTTTGAGAATTCGACCCGACCCTTTGAGGCTGCAAGGGAGGTGAATGGAAAAGATTTGGGGTGGGATTAGACGATTATGGGAATTGGGGATCATATCGTTGCGATTGTTGGAGGGGGCTAACTCTCCGGAGAGGGGGCCGGGATCCCAAAACGTCCAGGAGAAGGGTAGGAGGAACTTGACCTTCGTTGTTGGGGTGGGGGGGTCTGGATCTCCTAGGAGTGGTGATGGCGGGGCAGGATCATTGTGGGTTTGGCGGGTCCCGCGTCCTGCGGGAATGCGGGGACCATCATCCCCACGGGGAAGAGGGTGGGGGTAGGGACGGTCGGGCCGTGGGCCGAGCGGAGGGGGAGGGGGCCGGCCGCCCGGCTCTGCGCTGTGCTCCTGCCCCTCCCCCGCCGCCTCTGAACAAACTTTTCTTTCTCTTCAAGTTGAGGCCGGCGCTGCAGGCGGCGGCAGCGGCGGCGGTGCGGCGAACGAGGCGGCCTGCGCGGCGGAGCGCGGAGCCCCCGACCCTCGGCTCGGTCCGGTCCGTGGATCCTCAGGCCCCGGGCCCGGCCCCAGCCTCGGCCCCGAGCGTCCCGGGGCGGATGGCGCGGGGCGGTGGGCGCGGGCGGCGCTGAGCCCTGCGCGCGCTATGGCCTCGGCGTGCGGGGCGCCGGGCCCGGGGGGTGCGGGGCCCGGGGGCGCGCTGGGCAGCCCGGCCCCCGCCTGGTACCACCGCGACCTGAGCCGCGCTGCCGCCGAGGAGCTGCTGGCCCGGGCAGGCCGCGATGGCAGCTTCCTGGTCCGAGACAGCGAGAGCGTGGCGGGAGCCTTCGCGCTCTGCGTCCTGTGAGTGGGGCTGGGGCTCCCTGCGGGCGGGGGCGCGGCCCCAGGTTCCTTGCGTGTGTGCGGAGGGCCTGGGACAGTGGGACGCCAGCGCCCCCAACAGTGGGGGCTTTGGCTTTAAGCCTGGGCTGAGGAAGGATGCAGGGGGCACTTCCTTCCTGCTGTGTCTCTAGGGACACTTTCTGGGGCGTCGAGGGCAGAGTGTGTGGGGTCCTGTTAGCCAGGGTGGCTGTAAGGGGGGAAAATGCAGGGAGTCTCTGGCAGACCCCCTCAGGTACCCTCAGGCAGAAGGGGCAGGAGGGGTGAGGATGTGTGGATGTGCATTCCAGGGTTGTGTGTAGTTCTGTTTATACAGGGATGGGGTGTCTGAGCAGTAGGCATGGAGGGAGTTGGGGCCAGAGAGACCAATGGATCTGTGAGGACGCCCAGCAGCTTCCTTAGGGGTCCTTTCTATGCCCCCAGGACTGAGGTTGGGACCTGTGTGGCTGTAGATGTCTGGGGCTGGGGGGCAGGGTGGTGTTGAGAAGGATGCAGGAGGCAAAGCTATATGGGGCCATGTCATTATTTCATAAATCAATGAGCGTGCGCCTGTGCCCTGGTCCTGGGTATCCTGGCCCCCCTAGCCCTGAGCTATGGGTGCTGAACGTGGGTTAGACTTGGCAGCTCTCTGAGTGGGTCTGGTCCTGCTTCTGTAGCCATCAGCTGTGTGTGGCAGTGCTTCTGGGTGAGTTTGGTGGGTTTGGAGTCATCTCCCTGAGCTGTCTCCTATGCCCCATTGTCTGATACTAGGTGGACTGCTGTGGGCATTAGGATCTGATTATATTCCCTCTTAGCCCTGTGAACCCTCCCAAACCTCTATATTTCTGTCCCTTACGCTTCTGCTCTCTTCACTTCTTTGGGGGCGCATTGGCCTAGGCCAGTAGTTCTCATTTGGGGTTGATTTTACCCCTCCGGGACATTGGCGATGTGTGGAGACATTTTTGGTTGTCACAGCTGGGATAGTGCTGCTGGCATCTAGTGGGTAAAAGCCATAGAGGTGCCGCTAAACATCCTGCAGTGCATAGGACAGTCCCTCACAACAAAGAACTGTGCAGTCCAAAATGTGAGTGGTGCTGGGATTGAGAAGCTCTGACCTGGGCAGTGGACCTGAAGAGGAGGGGGTCCCCTAAGTCTCAGCTCATGGTCCAAGTCTGACGCCCAGGAGAGACGAACAAGAAACTGCTTTGGCAGATGACTATCCTAGAGTCCTGCCTCCCAGCCCCCTCTGGGGCATACCCCCTAATTAGGGAGGGGAGGGAGGCAGGTGCTGGGTCAGCTGTTGAGTGGGAGGGGGACAGCTGGGCCTGTGTCTGGGGGAGGAATATTATTGTCCCAGGAGGGGAGAGTCCTGGCTCCATAGCTAGGGGAGGAGATGGGTGGAGTGAGGGTCTGTCTGCGTCGGGGGTTTCGGCTTTGCCAGCTGACTCTGGCTACTCCTTGAATCTTAAGAGCCCGGGGTGGGGGGCGGGGGGGGGGCGGGGGGGACAGGTCAGAAATGGGATAGAAGCCTGGGGATAGGTAATCAGAAACATACTTGCTTCCCTACATACCCATATGTCCGTGGGTGACATTTCAGGGCACACCCCTGCTCTGACAGGCACTGGCCTCTGCCCTGGCTTTAAGTCCTAGCTCTGCCTTTTATTTACCCCGCGACCGGAGTCAAATTGCTTTTCCTCTTTGAGCCTGTTTCCTCTTCTGGAGAATATCTGTATCAAAATGTGAGGATTAAATGAGATCACATCTGTAGGGTGTCCTACAGACACGGCTCAGTTAATGGGATGCTATTGTTGTTGTAAATGCAGTCCACTGCGTGGTGCCCACACAGACACCTGCAAGGAACGTTGCCCCGTCAGCAGCTGCGAGAGCTCGGAAGGGGGCCTACCTGAGTGGAGGGGATGGACTGTGGCCAAGGTGTAGGGTCCCCTCAAGCGGGCATTTGGTCCTCTCTGGTGCCCAGCACACACATGGGCTGGTGGCGGGGGGGGGCTCCCTTGAGCAAGCCTACCTGAGGTTTGGCTGCAGAAGGAGGCTTCCATCCCCACTGAGTGTGGCCCGCACTGCCCAGGCCAGGCTCAGCTGTCACCTGCTCAGCTGTTGCTGCCATCTGTCAGCACCCTCCTCGGTTTGGGGCTCTTAGAGGCCTAGGTCTCCCATAGGGGGCCCCCTTGGGGCATCCCAATGTCCTGGTGTCTGGGGAAGTGGGGAGAAAGCCGGGGTACCCGCATACTTCCTAACAAAATGGCCCCGACACAGCCAACTCCAGCAGAGCCAGACACCAACGTAAACACAGACAGCAGGCGCACACGTGTGTGAGCACGTCCCCTGTGTGTGCAAACAGAGGTTAACCAGGCTTCTGAGGACGCTTACTCTGGCAGGGGGCCAGATCTGGTCCCACAGCCCAGAGGGGCTGTTTAGACAGCTGTGGAGGCCACAGAAGAGCTGCCTGTTGCTTCCCGGGCCCAGTGGTGGGTGTGGAGCCTATGTAGGTCTGGGTGCAAGGGTGGCGGGGGGAGGCCAGTCATTCCTGCTCTTGTTGGCAACACTAGCAGGATACAAGTGGACTGGGCTCCTCATTAACCCTGTGCGGCCTGAGCAAAGGTTTTAGGAAAACCAAGCTGAGGGAGCTGAGGGCTGAGCCCGGTAGCAGGAGGAAGGCATGCCTTGGGGCTTAGACCCCAGCCAGAGGGCGACAGATTCTGACCCTTGCTTTGTCATCAGGTATCAGAAGCACGTGCATACATATCGAATTCTACCTGATGGAGAAGACTTCCTGGCCGTGCAGGTAGGAGCCTGGAGCCTGAGCCCTGGCCTTGATTCCATCCTGTGGCTTGGGATCAGTTGGCTGACCCTCTGCCACCCGTGCTGGTTCTCAGACCTCGCAGGGCGTGCCCGTGCGCCGTTTCCAGACCCTGGGCGAGCTCATCGGCCTGTACGCGCAGCCTGGCCAGGGCCTTGTG